CTCCTCGGGCGTCCCCTGCCCCTCCAGGCAACACACACAGGGCTCACATCCTCCTCAGAGCCCGGCAGGCTGATTCCATGCATTTYGCTCATACGCCACCCTCCCACAAAAGCACCTTCATCTACCTGCCCAAGCTCTTAATATGCAAATGTTATGATCCTTCCTCATCCCAGGCCTCCAGGCTCCTGGGCAAGCCACCTATTCCTGTGGACCCTCTTCCCGATTCCTCCTGACTCTGCTGCACGTTCTTAAACTTTGCCTTTCCAAAGATTTATGGGCTCCATCATCTCCTGATCCTTCCCATCCAACTTTCCTTTCGTGCCTTGCTCCGTGYCTGATGCCCAGGACACCTCTCCTTTTCTCCTTTTTTCAGGGAGACTGCTTTGCGTGGCCGCCCTCTGCAGCTGCCCCTGCCCAAAGCCAATCAGCTGGAGCGCATCCAGCAGAGGCCAGTTTGGTCTCCTGCACTTCGCTGCCCAACAAGACCACAAGCAGACCTCTGTCTTAACCCTTACCAGGGTGCGTTTTGCCCGGGGCCACATTTGCTGACACTTCTGCCAGACAACGTGCAGCTTCCAGGGGCAACCCAGACGCAAGGATCTGCAGAGAAGACACATTAGTGTCCTCGGCTTATTGACTCCTCAATTAATTTCTCATACTGCTGCCGCTGCGAGATGAAGGTCAGTAAGAAAAGCAACGTTCAAACTCAAAGAGCAGCAGTTAAAGCTGGTTCTGCCTGACGTCTGCCCTGGGATTTCATCAGGGAGGAATCAGGAGTGCTCAGTGAGCACCGTTCCCACTCCCGTTTGGGGAAACAGGATGAGGAACCATGTGCTTGTCTTTGCTTTCTGGGACATGCCCTTACCACAAGTTCTAACTGAAAGCTGAATTCAGTGCCAAGATCATGTCTAGGTCTACTCAGGATTACAGAAAATCTTCTGGGTCTGTACCTTATATTACACCATGAGGGGCCCAAAGACGAAACCAAACTGAGGAAGTCAAACTGATCTGGCTTGAATTCAGCTTTCTTTACGTTTCTTTTTAGTTGACTTGGAAAATCGATTTTTTCACAGGTCTGAATATGGAAGAGATTCCAGCAGCAATCACTTCTGTAACTTAAATACRTATTTGCTTAAAAAGCTCAAGTTGAAACTAGTGTTTGCAAAACAATTTTGTTTCTCTTGATCCACTGCTAAGAAATAAGGATATCATCCAGGAACAAAAAAAGCCTAATTACCAAATGGTCAATTAAACTTTAAGCAAACATGAGAAGTTGATTTTTTCCCCCTAGCATACAGTTGAATAAATAATGACACAGCTTAAAACAATCTTTTGACACTCACTCATTCATTCATTCAAGACACCCTGCAGGAGAAACCCAGAAAGTAAACACAGCAAAGGCATCAAGGAAAGAGTGCCTAAGAAAACAAATGCTGTAGCTGGAACAATTTGAGAATCCAACTTCCTCCAGGTCCCGTGTGTTACCATAATAGCGCTGGCTGTTTCAGCAATAAAAATGTACCCAACTGTACCAAACAAAAAGACTGTCTTATAGCTTTAATTACCAAGGTACCTCCTCTCACACAAGACAAAGTAAATATTTAGAAATTTAAAAGCAAGCTGTCACACTGATACGGCAAGAAACTCTGCTGGAACTTGCACTGTGAATGTATCCCTAACTGGCCTAAAATGGGAGCTTACCAGCAAACAGGCAGTTTTTGCTGCCTATACTAAATTATACATGATGTGGAGAAGGCAAGTTTAAGAGTAGAAGGGTCTTCTGCTGCATTAAGCAGAATCCACCTCATCTGAGAAGCTCTCTGAGCAACAGCCTTCTGGACACGTAGGCAGTGAAGGAATGAATCGAAGCCCAGCAGCAAGTGAGACATCCCGCCACGAGAGCCAAGAAAGCAGCTGTCTGGGAGTGACCCTCTCTCCCCGTTACTGGAAAAAAGACTAGCTGGCCAGATCAGAATAGACATTGTAACTGCTAACAAGACAGGTCAGTCACATTAGTCCTGTTTTAAGTGACAGGACTCTTACTCAATTGTCAATACACAAGAAATACTCACGRGAGACAACAGCCCCAGAGCAGAGCAACCAGCCCGGAACCAGTTGTCGACCCATGGGTGAAAAAGATGGGAATACTCCAGCACAAGGGCCAGCTGGAGGCCCAGCTGCACGCACAGAAACAAAGAGAATGCTACRAATCCCTGGGGAAGGAAGCGAGACAGAAAGCATCTGTTCTCCTCTGCACAGCGCCCTCCTATCCCAAACACTGCTCGCAGCTCCTGCTTCAAAGGCCTGCAACTAAACGGCAAAGCCTGGGGAGACRGAGAAAACAAGGACCACAGGGAAACCAGACTAGCCGGGAAGAGAGGGGAGTGATGAAAACGCAATACAGGAGGAGCCTACAATGCACATGAAAAATAGAGAACTGCTCTTCCGAATCTGCATCCTTCACACTCGTCTCTTCTAATGCATTATGTTCAACGAGAGATATTTAAAAGTTTTCCTCAGCTGCTCAGCTGCAAGTAAAACACCCCTCTGATGTCCAGAAGATCTGATAAGAAACAGAAATACCCCATGTGAGCTCGTGATTTTCTACCGCAAAACAGACAGGCCTTCTGATGTACCAAAGCGAGWAGCAGAGACCCTGAAAGAGCAAGTTCTACCAAAACAGTAAGTGTTGGGAGTTGGAAATGTGCCCTTTGGGAGCACGAGGCTGCTTCCATGGCTGGCAGCCTCCGTACTTCCCTGGGTGTGCACAGGGGCACAATCACTAGTCCCGAGTGGCATCCCGGATATCCCTCTGTCCTTCAACTTCTACTCCCCGTGTTAAGGGAGGCAGCAAATGTCTGTCTGCCCRTAATATGGTTGGGGGAAATTTATTAGCAGGAACATTTCCATTGTCCACAGCTCGGCAGGCAGCAGCCCTGTCGAGCTTCCACCTAAGGACCCAGCGTAGCCGTGGGGATCCCCACTGACCCGCTGACCCCCCTCCAGGCACATGGGGAACATGCAGGAAGGATGCACCTGGGTACCAGGCTGCGTTCCCTGCAGTTTCAGCTGAGGAGGCTTCTCAAGCTCCCCGASCTGCTCTCAAACAGCCCCTCCAGAACACAATCCTCCAGTTAGGCATGCAAACCTGTCTGGAGCTTGGATACCTGCGGCTCTCAGCCTAGAATTAAGGGTTCATTCCCAAAASACGGATGAGCGCTCAGGCACTTACTTGGCCAAGATGCCCACGCTTAAGAGGAGCTTGATAACTTCGGTGATGCACACGGCGGTGGTGGAGAAGTAGAGCTCGCTCTGCACTGTGCGCGTGTACCGCAGCGCCACGGTGTACGTGGCCGCCACCAGCGTCATCACCGCGAGGCAGTACAGCTTGAAGGGCAAGCTCACGGTTTCTGCAAGAGAACAGGGACAGCTCAGCGGGGCCCTCGGTTTCACTTAGCAGCTGAAATGGGACACCCTCCAGCTGGAGGATTATTCCAGGTGCTATCATGATAGCAAACTGCAACTTCAGTACAGAAGGGCATCAGTCCTGCACATCCCAGTATATGATGAGGCAGCMCATGCGGTCAGAGGGCAGCAAAAGCTACGTCCACACTGGGAAACACAACAGTGCCCATGCACTGTGCCCAACCAAGCACAACTTCTTGGTGCTAAAGCACCGCCTGAAACACCAGAAATCTCGTGAACASCCAGTGTAACTTGGTGAATAGTGTCTACAAAGCCTTTTCTTTTTTTTTTTAACAAATTAGAGGAGTTATTCTTTGCTACATATAGCACCTGGTGGATGGATGCTCRTTCAGTGACATCTTTATGGCATCATCTGTTATGTTCTGACTATTCTTAAAAAAAAACCATAATTTAATTGGCATAAGTTTATGCTCCCCTCTTGATTAAGCGATGAGCTAACAGAATGTCGCTCCAGGCAGATTGGTAACAACTTTGTTCATGTAGCAGGGGTAGGAATTGCTGCATCCAGTGTGTAAGGATTTGGTCCATTTCTCTTTCAAGGCGGTGAACTCTTCCGTTGCATGATATTCCTGCGAGGTACAGTTAATACATCCTGCTGCTGTAATTATTTAAATTAGCTCTTTCCTTGTAGATAAAAATCTTATCCACGTCAGTAACCACTTTAAAAAGGTAGAGCCAATTAGGTTTTGGACTAAGGATGTTTAGAAAAGACTTAGAAGTTACAGGCCATTTTAAAATTAACTTCGGACTGCATTACGGAGGCAGGGGGAATCCAAGGGCAGAGAGASCAGGAAATGAAATGAACCCCGTCCTGGTTTACGTAAAGAAAATAATATGCAAAACAAGTACAGATGCATAGATAATAATAATAAAAAAATACAGTTCATAATGYTGTATCTGACAGCGGTAAAACAGCATTAATGGGGTCCCTTGGTTATAATACATCAAGATTTTATGTGTTCGGTACTGAATGGGATATTAAATTTAACGCCTGTTTACAGCAACTCCTCTGACAAGAGCAGCAGCAGGTTCTCCTCTGAAGCGCCGATCCCGCCAGGTCTGGGGATCCGGGTAACCACCGGGACACGGCGCAGCCGCCTCCGAGCTCCCGCCGCCAGCACCGCGTGCTGGGCAGGCTTTTCAGGCGGCTCCTTTCGGCAGCGGGGCCCAGCCCGCCCGCACGGGCACCACGCGCTGACGGAGGCCGCCGGTTTCGGGGAAAGCCCCAGCTCGGGAACGGAAAGGCAGATGCGGCGGCGCCGCAGCCGGGACCGCTGCGCGGCTGCGGGGAGTCACAACCGCTGGGCAGCGCAGCGCGGGGCCCGCGCCCCGAGCGACCGTTAACGGGCGGGAAGGGACCGTTAACGAGCGGGAAGCGGCCGTTAACGGGCGGGAAGC